TAGGAAAGAATATGTGACAGCCATAGCAACGAAGAGCAAAGAACCTAGAAACCTGAAATTTAGAAATACAGATCACAAAAAATTTACAAATAGAAATAACAGTTTGTGTGCATGTGCATGTTCGTGTCTGTGTATGTGTGACTTCCATAGCTCCAAGAGGAAAGAACCTAGAAACCTGAAATTTTGCACCCATACTAAGTGGTCCCTGAGGGTTTACACCTGGGAATTATTACTTACCTATGTTCATGCTTGCACATCTTTTTATGTGAAAAACACATAGAAAAGAAATGGGCATGTGTCTGTGTGTGCATGCACATCTTTTTTTAATGAGGCAAGCTAGCAAAAAAATCACATAGAAAAGAAGTGGATCCTTATATTACAAACACAAATCACAGACAGACAGACACACGTGTTTGCATACATATCTGTGTGACTGCCATAGCTCCAAGAGGAAAGAACTTAGAAACCTGAAATTTTACTCCCATAATAAGTGGCCCCTGAGGGTGTGCACCTGGGTATTATTACTTATCTTAACCAGTGCATGTGCATCTTATTAATGAGGCAAGAAAGCAAAAACTACATAGTAAAAATGTGTTTCCATATATTAGAAATTATAGATATAAATCACAACATACAGACATACATGTGCATGTGTGCACATCTTTTTAATGGGGCAATCTAGTGAAAAACCACATAGAAAAGAAGTGGTTCCTTAGATAACAACTTTTAATATATATATAAAAGCCAGTATGTTTTGGTAACAATGCATTCCAACAATGGCTTTTATATCATGTTGCTTAGCAATAAAAGTATAAACTACAAAACTAAAAAATATTTGTTGTTTTCTAATTTAGAGGCTCCATTAATTAAATAGGTTTCTTTTTTTATTATTTAAGTTTAAAATCAGAGGACAAGTCAGAGGGAAGGTCACATCCCATAAAGGAGTAACAAAAGTATATAGGTTATACTTGTTTGTTAAAATGGATTCAATATACACACGCTGACATAGTCATCTAGAATAAATCAATCTCATAACCCAAGCAAAGCCAGGTACTTTTGGTAGTATGAAATATAATAAACACAGTGTGTTGAACATAACAAACTATGGGACTAACATAAAAATAAAATACTGATATCAAGAGATTAGTATTTTCTAATGTAATTTACAATTATCTAAAAATTATGTACCAAGTTTTATGTAAGAAAATTTAGCACTTTGAGAACATCTTTTTGGTAAAGCAAGTTAACTTATGTTCTAAATAAGAGGGGTAAATATATCAGTTAAATGTCACCAAATAATTCACCATTTCAGTGTGATGGCCACAGTACCAAATCTACTGTAACTAAATTGAAAAGCTAAACTATAATATTTAATTGCTAGATGTGTACCAATGTGTGTACCTTTGTAAATTGGTACAAATACTGTTGTCAGTATCATTGGAAGTACATGGCTCTACATTGCTTAAATAAAAAATAACATAAAAAATAAAGAAGATATACTTCAAATCACTACCATCTTCTTCCAAACACATTTTAATTCAAACTGAATATAAAGGTTCAGAAAGCGCAAACATGTACATGCTGTTTTGTAGGATGTCCTGTGATACCAGACTGAAAAGTTAAGCAAAGTCCTATATATCCTAAGCTATGTTTCTATTTAAACAATGTTTTCCATGTAGCTAAGAAATTCAAAAGCAAAATCATCAAGTGCTCTCAACAGCTATGGAGCTTATAAATATATTATCATAAATGAATAGATCATATATTTGTTTTTGTCACTGGAGTTATTGATGAGTTTGCAAATAGTGTATTAAAATACTACTGTTTACAAATGCAGTAACAATAACATATTGCTCACATCAAACATTTCAAGTTATATAATTCTTTATTTTTTCCACAAGAAATATTGGTGGACTTGCAAAAGTTGCTACAAAATTGAACCAGAAATTTTGAAATTTGGTAAAGTAATATATTTTCAACTTACTTGTAAATGTTTAACACAATATGACTTATAATATGAATGTAGTATTAAAGAATTTTTTTTAAGTTTGAAATATGTGAAAGAAAAAACTTTTTCTTTAACAGTTCAAATGGTAACACAAAACAGGTCTGTCATTATATCTGTACCATAGTAGGTGAAAGGTTAATGACTGGTGTTGAAAACTTATTATGAACTCAAATACATGTCTTGCTTTGCAAATAACCAAATAGAATTCATGATACACATAATCTTAACAGTGAACATTAATTTTATATTTTAAAACAAGAAATTTATTTTTCAAACTGCAACTTTTGATTTCCAGATTATAATCTTTAATGTTCTTCTTCAACACAGCCTTAAATTAGGACTGGAAAATGCATTATAACAACATAAATGCATTTGTTATTATTTTTTGCTATGCTAAGTTCTTTAACAAAATCTTAGTATATTTGTTTTAATTTACATTTACTGTCTTAAAAATTTTAAAACAGAGTAAAGTTTTGTTTCAACAAATTCAGTAATAAGTTAATCTAAACCTTACCTTCTTTGTCAATTGTAGATGTCGCTGTCTGAGTTTGCTTGTTGTAGGTTACACTTTCTTTTGGAGGAATGTTAGCTTGGTGGACACTTACAACACTTAGTTTTACTTGTCTCCTTCAGTAAACAAATACAGAACATATTATTAATTACTCTTTCAAGCATAAATTAACAAATTATAAACCAAAAACAAATTAAAAAATAATATATTTCAAAATATGAATTAACACCATTAATAAAAACAAAATTAATTAAGATGCCCATTTTTTTGAACAATAAAATCCTATAAATAGATACATATTTAAAATATTTAAATTTAATGTTAAAATGTGATTCAAATGGATACCTATTTGTAAAATGGTAAACAGCTATATCTTAAAAATATAAATCATTCATATTGCTAATTCTACACGTCAGGGTACCTTTCAATCTCAATACTACTTATATCTCCTGAGAGGAGCTATTACTAATATTAGTGATTCATCTAATCAGTAAACTAATCATCACCTTGTAAATTCATATATATATTCTTTTCTATCTACATTACAAATAAAATTGACATTAGTTAAGAATAACTCAGTATCAGATAAAAGCCTGTAGTTTTTAACCTTGAAGGCTAAATAAAATACAAATATTCAAAGTTGCTTCAATAGAGAAAACCAAAGAAGAAGGAGAATTAACCATCTTGATGTAGAATTTTCAAAAGGAAAACCACTGTTAAGCAGGCTCCTACCAAACTTTGCTATGGTTCCAATTTCAATGATATAATTTTGGCAGAAGTATATTTTGTTTTTATGAAGTTATATGTTTACACAAATACATGTAAACACTTATAACCTTGTTTAAAAAAATCTAAAGTTTTTATAAACTTTATCCAAAGATTATTTATATTTTTCATAAAGTACTTTACATTGTGAAACATACCAACTCAGCTAGCATGCAATGAACTAAGCTCTAAAGTACTCTCAGTGGTTCATTACTATATGAGAACACTGTAGGCTTAAATCATTTCATAGAGGCTTAAGTTTTCTTAGTAGTAAATAGCAGGAGTGCCCTCTACCTGACACATACAAAGAAAGATCAAGTACAAAAACACTGCTATAAGTTACCTTCAAAATAACTGGAAACAATTAAAGGAAAGGATTACTAACAGAAAATAAACTCATAAACAGTGAGATACCAATCCATTCTCCAAGTCCAATTCAATTTGACAGAGGAATAAAAACATTAAACACAGGAACAGATCAAAAGAAAAGTGCCAGAGATCAACAATAAAACTGAAAGTATCTTCAGAATGTTAAAGCATACAAAAAGTAGAAGAATAAAATTAGGCTCCAGTTGAGGGGTATCGGAAAGGTCCTCAAAAATTGGTCAGAATCTTCAAAAACAGACAAAAATAAATACAACATGAGATTATTACCCTTCTAACTCATCTAATAAAAAGAAAATGCAGCTCAGCCAAAGTTCAGATCAAGTTCAAAACTAATCTTTCTAGTAAAAAACAATTAGTGGCAGAATGTCCTAACTGACAAAATAGCAAGAAACTATTACTTACAAGTAATTCAGCCACACTTATATGATCAGAGAAAGTTGACTGAAAAATTCCTTGCATATTTCAAATAACTGTATCAGTTTGTTTATGAAATTATACACCTAAATATCAAAATTAAACAATAGCATGTAACAAAGTACAAATGACAAGATTATTTAAATTTCATAATAATTTTTCCCTAACATACAAAGTTTATGGGTCATTCTTAGGTACATACATGTAAAATATTATTAGGTCAATGCCTAGTAAATTATAAAATCTTAAAAGTTAAAATAATTAGGGCTTCATAAAATTAGTAGTATTAATATATATGTGTCATATAATATTATACATGGAAAGTATAAGAATACAGCTGATATAAAATACCTCGAACTCTTCAACAATCCTGTGCCACTTTGTGTTGAAGTTAAACTCTGGTCTGGAATGGGTGAAAGACTAGTTTCTGGGGTGGCATTTAAAGATCGAATCAAACTTCCATCTGTAATCCACAATAACTAATCTCAGTGAATTCTATCTTAAGAGAAGTTTGTTTGTCCTCTAACTACTCCTAGGCTTTTGCATTTGAACTTGTCAAATATCATTTAATCAACTAGAAATGATTTGGGATGTGTCAAGATGTTTTATTTTGAAATGCATGTGATAACTAATTATATATCAGTCAATCAGGTATTGCCACTAGGGGTAGTGATGGCATTTCTCCAGTTTCCTCTTTTATTACATAGGGTATATATACAATGTAACAATGCTTTTCTCTTAGAATCACATACTTCCAGATATGAAATGAATTTAAAGAAACACTGTTTAATGTATAACAGCTAAACACAACTAAGTAAAAGCTAAAATAAAGCACATAATAAAGAAAAGTTAGAGACAATATGTAAAAAATATTGAATTAGTTAAGTTTTCTTGAATAAGTATTCTAGATGTTAAAAATCACATCAAAAAACCAATTCAATAAAAGTTTAGATTTTAAATTAATTCAAAATTTTTTTCTTTAATTTAATTAATAACCAAAACTTATGGAATTTTTGTAAAGAATTGAAACTTCAAAATACATTTAAATTTTACATTAAACTTGTATGTATTGAAAATTATGAGTAAACTGTTAAAGTTTAAGTATTTTTGGAAGTAAGAACTATCAGTGGTGTATGTTCATTCCTGGACTTGAACTTATAATGGTTAAAATTTAACATTCTCTATTTTAGTTCTTTCTTGGTTTTACTTGTTTTTACTTAACTCTTTCAACCCAGGCTCAGTCCTTGGGACCGACCTCGTAACCATTTTGTGCTTATTATAGTTTTCATGCTATAACTTTTCAATTATTAAGCGAATATTAATGAAATTTGGCAGTTTATCAATAAACATTACAATGCTTTGATAAGCAAATATGTAATTTTTTTATTAGGTCTTAAAGTTTGTAAAGCAATGTTTCTGTCATCCCTTTTTTTTCACATCTTGCCTATCTATCATGCAAGGTAATTTTCATATTAACATTATGCATAAGAAAATTTCGAAATTTCACATGCAAAATCGTTATAATGTCCAAATAGTTCTCAAATGTTTCTTAAGAAAAAACTTTATATGTGTTTTTTTCAGTAATTAATCTCTGTATGGGTTCGGTAAATTTGACCGATCTCGCAACCATCATAAAAAAATTAGGAAATAAACATAAATTATGCGTCTTTCATTCTATAATGAACACAAATTACAACATGAAAACATAAATGTTTAGACAAAATAGCTTAAATCTCATAACATTATACATTTATATATATTTAATATTTTTATTACAGTGACCTTTCACCCATGCCTGGCTAACAATACAGAAGTTACAACGATGCAGCTAATGTGAACTCATTTTACCGTATCAAATAAAATAAAGGTGACCTTTGGTCTTTACAAAGTAACTTGTCTTTTGTAATATATAGTCACATTTCAATTATTATACATTATATATGTATATAGATTATTGCTATTTTGAAATAAGTTCTTAAAGTTATTTTTCCTAAATCATAGAACAATAAATAAAGAAGTAAAGCAAACAATTATCTCTTCTAGTTATGACCTTTGTACTCAGTTGCTGCTTGATGTAGGATGCTAAGCCTTTAAAAATTTTGCACATGAAGGATATGAAACAAAATATTTCTTTTAGGTTTTATATATACTTTTGAATAACTACAAAATCATAAATTACTAAATCAGTACCACAGAATTCTACTATAATTTATCAAACGTACTAACCAAGCTGTATTTGGGTCTAAAAAAATATGAAATTTCAAGCAGACTTAAGAGACAACCTACCTCATTGAAATCTTGATTCAAAAGAAAGAAATGATGCTAGGTACTTTAGAAAGGCTTAGAAAATCACTTGGGGGACATAGAGTTTCTGATTGGTTATTCATTTCATATATAGAAGTAAGTATTTATAAGGAAACGTTTCCATAAATGGAAGGCGGTGAGCAGGGTGCCACTATGTCTGATTTATTATGTGAGCAATATCTTAGTAAATAGAAAAGATAAGACCTTCTTATTTTATATTCTAGCTCGTCAATATATAATTTCTAATTCGTATAAAACTACAGACTTAGTATTTTGACTTCACAAACATCAAATTTGAACCAGTGCTGCATTCAGTATACCACATGACACACAAAAATCGATGTTTATCTGTGTTTTTTAATATTAACTTTTAAATTAACAAATTGAGTAATTTATAGTTCTAAAATTTGAATTATAATGTACAGTTTGATACCAAACTTATTGACATAAATTAATGTAATAGTAGTTCAACAAAATTTTCAATGTGAATCAACAAAGAAGATGGCATGACCTTTCACCTGTGACCCACATGGAAAGGGTTAATGGGCTTCTATCAACTTTTATTTCTTATTTAGATTTTGTCTCTCCATATCCGAGAATACACATATATTTATAAAATAACTCCCAAAATATATTAATGTCAGTGAATACTTGTTTGCAGTGTTACGTCTCTAGTCGTTAGTTAATTTTCCGTAAAAATTCTTTCCGAATTAAATTTAGCGATACAATTCCTTTCTTAAATAAAACTGGTT